TTTTATTGTTTAAATAATTGTAAATGTATTTATTTGGTCAGGTATATATATATATATATATATATATATATATATATATAAATATATATATTATATATAATAGAAATTTTTTGAAGGTTTGAATAATTTCACATAATAATTTTTTTGTGTCTAGAATAAGAATCCTCAAAAGAATGCAGAAAGCACTGGGCAGGCGTTTCGTCCTTTAAGGAACTCATCAGCAGTGCGCATCCATTACCGAGAATCGAACCCGGACCATTACGATACAACGCAAGTCATACCAATTATTATGTGCATTTATTCAAATCTCCAAAATTTACACACACACACACACACACACACACTGGATGTGTTCTTTCATGCGCGATGTTGATGCGCAACCAAGTCGACTTTCTGCCATTAAACTTTTTTTCCCACTTTAAAGCGTTCTACCCACTTTTGCTCCTTGCATTGATTCATAGTGCATGTTCCATACTCTGCTAACATCCAGCGATGGATTTTCATAGGATTGACTCCATCTGACCACAAAAAAATGCACTACGGCACATTGTTCATCGATAATGCAATCGATGATTGGAGCGTCTACACGTCTGACCTCATTACTTCTTTCCATTCAACTGAACGATGTAATGCTGGGTGCTGGTAGCTACCCGTAATCTCTGGTGTCCCGTGTCAGCACGAACATTTGATTTCAAAATTGGCTTTACTTTCTGATTTAGCCTCGAACAGATTCAAATAACTATATGTCAAATATTGTTAGTTGGTTTTTGTTTAGCGGCATATTAACATCTACAAGTTACATAAAGCCATAATCTTAAATATTTTGTAAGCAATGTTATTATTTTTTGAGATGATAATGGCTTAGTGATACAAATTTTATTAATTACCTCATAGCTGAGGGAAAAGAGGTGGATCCATAACTTTTCCTAGGGTATCTACCCCTTGCGACCGTTTGCAGGCTAATTACAGTGTGTGTGTGTGTGTGTGTGACTGACCGTAAGACGATTTGGAAAACTTCTAATTTGACATCTTTCGCCGGGGAACTGGTGCCATCACGAAAAGAACTTTTTTCAACAAAATATACCTTGAGACAAAAATGTAATACACGTTAAATAAATGAACAATTTTTTTTCTTGAACTTCGTTAAATTACCTAATTTATTTTCCATCTTAACACACACACGCGCGCACACACACACACACACATATATATATATATAAGAACAAACGGAGTATAATTCCACTGTCCGTAACATTTAATTGAAAAGAGGGTCTCAATACAGAGTAAAGCTACATATTAGGAGATTAAAAATAGCCACACAATTTTAATTCTTTTGTTTTTGTGGTGGGGGGGTCGTCTTCTCTTTCTTTTTCGAAAAAGAGGAAGTATTTGGCTTAGAAATTAAATTAATCGTTCACACAACATTAATTTACCATCGTGTCGAAACATGATTGCTGCTGTGTAGCGATTTTTAACATGTTTTTGTTTTAATCTCCTATAATAAATTGCATGCCGGTTCAGAGATAGTATCTCTGATACTAATAATAAACCCACTACATATATTGGTTTTACTACAACCACACTCTCTCGTCGACTTACATGTCACATTTTTTATCTTGGTTCTATTAAACAACACTTCTTAGAAAAACATAGCCATGTATATAATATTAGACGGATGTCAGTTGATAACACAACGATACTAACACATACACAAAATAAAAAGAACCTTCAGATATTTGAGGCCAGTTACATTAAGACAAATCAACACAAACTCAACAAAATTGCATTTCAAACTAGTCACAACACATTATATTGCATCTAGACATATGGTTCCGTTGTTAATATTTCGCTCTCTCTGGTTGTACGACGTCATAGAACAGCATCATCAATTTACGACCTGCGTCTGCTATTCCGCAACAATTTTCGTCGCATAGCTATCTTCCATGGCACCATAACAGAATATCATATTTGATGCTGAATATCTTTCTTTAAATTTCTGCATAATCACTCTAAAGATGGCTCATGTGAGCCGAAAGCTTAGATCAAGGACAAGCTTAATAAAAAGTATGGAAATGTTAGAGAATTTTTGCCTTTATTTTCACCCGAATTTAAGGCAATTATATGGAGTTTTGAACGGCCCATGATCAAAAAAGACATTCATTGTCTGTTATATGTGTGTGTGTGTGTGTGTGTGTGTATGTTTTACCAGTTTGTGACTGGAAGGGATAATTCCGAGAAGGATATAAATCCAGGGAGAGCTTAATGTAGACGAACAGACCATTACAATAATAAGATGACTTTAATTATCCATTTCGTTTATAATTTTCATTTCGTGACCACCGAGATCTTCATCTCATCAAAACGAAAACTTGCTCAGTTCTGATGAGATGAACATGTCGGTGTTCACGAAATAAAAATTATAAACGAAATGCATAACATGTCTTCTTATTACCATATATTATATATATATATATATATATATATATATATATATATATAATTGAAAGCTTTCTTAACCTGCATTGTTTCAGTGATAATTTAGTAAGAACATGCGATAAATTGAAATAGCTCGATCATATGGGATTCATAGATCATGATACTTTCGTCTGAGTAAATTACATTAATTTTTCTCTTAAAACAGCATTTTCTAGATTAAAATTGTCAAACTGAAAGTTTCGGACTTGCGATGTTTCGCCGATGTATTAAAATAAAGTGTATCAGAATTAAGAATAGCTTCAATGATATAAATAAGGCTTGGCAGGAAATTTAATATTCCTACTCAAGGAAAGATAATACTTCTTTCGAAACATTTTGATTAATTGTTCTTCTGGGCTCGTATCTATTATTTTGTTTATTGTCTGTTCCAATGTCCTGGCTCTGGAAAGAAAGAAATATAAAATCATCCTGGCGACTTTCTGTATATATCGTCTTGCTTTTTAGCAAGTTTAGTTCCAGGCGTTATTTATTTTCTTGAAATTGTACAGTGAAGCCACACTCCCACCACCGAAAATCAATAATGGATCAGTAGATATGAAGATAATTTCCGCGTAATGTCCACTAAAAGAACGTATCTAAGTAGAAATTAGCGTATTGATCATTACCAGTTCTTCAAAAGATAGGAACATAGAATTTTAGTCAGAGAAGTCTTGCGAATTACTTCTTTGCCAAAGTAAATTCGACCTTGTCTATGGCCCAGAGGTAAGGCACGTCAGCGTAAATGACGGTTCCGTATAGGATGCAGGTTCGAATCCTGTCAAAGAACGAATATTTTCTATGAAAATTTCTCGGACATTCAGGCCGGTAAATGTTATTTAATACTGTTTATCATAAACAGAGCATTTGCTTAAATACTTGTATCTATAAATAACAACGTTAAACATAAAAAATGTCTTTAATAAATAAATATATATATAATGCCACTTCCTTTCATGACGTAGATAGTCATGTTTCTCGTCGTGACTTAACGGTAAATATAGTGGAATGGTTGCTGCCATCTCTACAGTTTTACATTGGGATTTCTACTCCTTCTCTTGTTACCCCCCCCCCACCGAAATAACTTCTGTTACCTAATAGACGTCGGGTACGTTTATTTTTTTGAAAATATTTTCCTACCCCAAACCGAGCTTATTAAAACAACTTCATTTGCTAACTTTTTATATGACTCTCTGGCCTCGCGTCTATTGGTACCTTTCCGTATATTGCATGCCGAGAAAATAGCCTGCCCAGTTATTAACCACACCCTTATATTAAGAAGTTTCTAATTTACGCTGTTATTTAGCTGGGTAATTTGAGGTTGATGAGAAAAGGGACTGATAGCGTTGTGAGAAGAAATGGGTTCCAGCCCTTCTCAAGTGTATTAGTGAAAAACGTTAACGCAATATATTAGGCCAAAATTTGAAACCTGCTCACCGAGTCAGGTTTCGGCGTTGATAACTATTATGTTAACAGCAAGTTCATGTTTCGCAGATGTACTGTAATAAAAATCATCGACTCGCAAATTCTAATCGAATTTATAGACTTTCTTTTAGTAGATCCCAACAAAGGCTACAGTTAATCTAAGAAGTGGAATTGATCTTGTGAAGAACCCGAATAAAATGATCACTATATATGGCACGAAGGTTAATGTTGAGAAAAACAAAATTCATGACGACCAACGAGAAAGGGCTTTTAAGCTAGATAAAAGTCGGTGTTCGAGAACTTAAAGTAGTCAGGCAATTCAGCTATTGCTAAAATAAGCAAAGAGGGCTATAAAATAGGAAAATTCAGCAGTAACGCAAATAGCAGCAGCCATCTGAAAAGAAAAATATATCTGTTTAAAATCTAAGATTGAACTTTTAGTCATCCTGTATATCTACCAATCTAGGGCACTACTAGCCGAATTTCAGCGAATAATCCAAACATTAGAATTAAGAAGCTACCGAACCATCCTGAAGAAGAGGTAGACAAAAATAAGAAATAGACTGGAAGATATTTAAGAGAAAGTGAGACACTGGCGCTCAAGTGAAACATAAGACAGTGGTCAGATTTTTTTCAGCTGGCAGACTTCCTATGATCAAACCTGGTCAAGAGAATGAGAATTATGAACAAAGGTCATGGAAACCTATGCGTAAAGGGACGATCTCCTTATTTCTCAAATACCTAAATTAATTAATTGACAGAAATTGATTTAACATAAGAATAGGTATTGTCAGAGTTAGTCTGTTATTGTTTTATTTCAGATTTGTCTTTTTTTAAAATCAAGTTCACCCCACTGCAAGACTGTAAGACCACTGAGACAGAAGGGGTACTGGGTGTGAAAGAGTTAGAAACAGAAACATTGCTATGGCATGAGTACAAAAACGTGATCAGGAGGATAGGAGATAGCGATTGACATGGCCTTTAAATTTTTGCAGATTAAGTTGTCCTGTTACGGTATTCTTGATTTAATGACGATTAAAAATTTCATCTGAAATGAACTTAATAGATTTACATCGTTCTATGAATAGCATACACATGACCAGATAGAAGTACTGGTCCCCGTTCGATCACTGAAGTTAATCAGCGTCGTGCCTGACCAGTAGTTTGATGATGAACCGACTGGGAACACTAAGTACTGTCAGCAAATCCCATCGATGCCGGTCCCATGCCAGAATGTCAATCCCCTTGTTTGAGAAACACCAATAAGCGATCAATACAACTCTCTTGTCGACCACCGACACTCAGGCTAGATTTGAAGGCAGTAAGAATAGTTTATATCTACATTTTTTTTTTATAATCTTTCGCATTATATAACAAAAGGTACATTCTCTCGTTTTTCACTTTCCTTGAGAATGTCTGGAATATTACATTATTATTATTATTAGTAGTAGTAGTAGTAGTAATAGCAGTATGATTTCTTTTGATTCTGTTCCATACACATTTCCTGCCGGCGTTCAGGCCCTAAACAAACATAGGAAGGACATTCCTAAACTTGATAGAAAAGCATTTTTCTCAAAACAAAACAATTAGCGTTATATATATATAAAAAAATTCAACAAAATAACATTAAAATCAGTTACAGCTGCACCTAAAAAAAAATAACACAAATAATAAAAAGCTACAACAAAAAAAAAAGTAACAACTTGAAATAACGCAGCCAAGGAATCTCAATGCAACTGCAGAAATAAAACATGTCCACTCCAAGGAAACTGCTAACAAACAAATATAATATATAAAGCCAAGGTCCAAGGAAAGTGCAAACAACAGCACAATTTACTACATTGTTGCCACTGAGGGACCATTCAAGAAAAAAAAAAAAACAATCACAACCTTTCATTCATCCAACAGAAAATACTCAAACAGCACTACACTATCCACATATATATGGAATCTAAAAGACAGAAATATTACACCAAGAATAAGCTGGAAAATATTGAAAAAAGCACCCGCCTACAGCAACATCGCAAAGATATACCTACTTTGCCTACACGAAAAGGTAGCAATAATTTCTCATACCCAACAAAATTTTACTAAACATAAGATCAGAAATAATTTCCAAATGCAGGCATGAAAATAAATACTTATTATCAGAATTCATGCCAAACGGATAAAAAAAGAAATTAAAATACCGACAAAGACTACTACATAAACCACCATAGACCCTATAAACATGAAAAGAGAAACCACTGACACCATAACACCAATTATTTTCTAGTTCAAACTACCATCATAATAATTATAATTATTGTTATTACCATTCAACCACCATTACGACAATCACTTCTACCACTTTACAATAACTATTTGCTGCTACAATTGTTATTATCATCACCCGCTCCCCTCACCCCATATTATTACTACCGCAACACAATTACCATTACTATATCAGTCCACAATTATACTTACTTCTCCCCACCTCCCCGACAGCAAAATTAATACCACCGCATAAATATTAATAAGTATTATGAATTGGAGTTTCTACCATTTACATATGCGCAATCTCAAAAAAACAAGCAAATAACCGGCTTTAAAATAATAACAAAACAGCATTAAAAAAAAAAAATAATAGCAATTTTTTACCATAGTCTTACACAGACCCCATCATAAAATAAAGAAAACAGACGGATAGAAGATGTGTGAACGTGTCATACGTATATATGTGTGCAATAAAATATTATTCAGCAAACAAAATAGACGAATGGACTGCGCGTTGTTGACACGTAACTAAGAAAAGATGTTCACTACATAACCCAAGATTGAATACAGCAACCAATTGTGTATGCATGTACGCAATGACATATGGTTGCGCATATATGCCCAATCCCACACAGTTCATATATGTACATGTTTGCTTGATTGCCAATGAGTTTAGCGTGTGTATGTATGTCTGCATACATCAATGAGTGAAAGTGCGTGTATGTATGTTTGCGTACATATGAGTGGCGTTCAATGACAATTTTTCCTCCCACTATCATAAAAACACGGATATACACAAACATATATAAATCCAAAATTTAAAAATTAATCAGTTTGTCTGATGATCGCAAATTGAATAAATAGCTTTAATTATCTTCTTAAACCAAAACAATTAAATAAGCGATATAAACAAATTTTACTACGTTAATAAAAACACCGACTAATAAAAATAAATAAATAAATATATAAGAAATAAAAAATAAAAATAAAAATTAAAAAATAGAAAAAAAAATAAATAAAAACAAACAAAATAATTTAACTCAAATAAATAAACAAATAAACGACTTCCAGTAAAATAAGGGCCAAAATAGACTACCCACAATTCACCACTGACCCGTATATATAAATAGCCAAGAAAAATAACAGCCTCGTAGCCTGACGATTGCATCTAGCGCGAAACAGACTTTGTTGATTTTATATTCACTTTTATATTTACACGCGCTCTATCTCTATATTGAGCAATTTATCCCATAAATATTAACATCTTAAGACTATATTTCTTCATAATATATATATATATATATATATATATATATATAATATATATATATATTATATGTATGTCGTTTGTGTGTGTGTGTATATATATATATATATATATATATATACAACACACATTTTCATATATATATATATATATATATATATATGTTACACACACATTATTTTTAAAATATATATGACATTTTGTTGAAATACAGTTCAACATAGAACATTTGTACAATGTGGGCACTTTAGTATGAAACCTATGGTCGTTAACTTTTCACATAAGAAAATTTTTAAAATTCGCCAATCCTTTGTGTTTTTTTATTGTTGATTAAGACTGAATGCATCGACCCAAAGTTGTTTTAAATGTTACAAATTCAAATATTTTGAAGAAATTTGTCAAGTTAATATGTCAAGATATTATCACATGTGAAATATTAAAAGATTTTTAAATGGTTTATTGTCGTTATCCTACAAAGCAACTGGTATCCTCATCTTTGATTGTTTTATCACTTGATTTTGTTCGTTATTGTGCAATGGGTCATTATCATTATTGAATAATATTCAGACGTCTTCATCCTTTTGGTGGTTTTATCATTTTCTAGCTGACCGAGGGAAAGTGTATTTGTTTCTTGAAATGAATCTATAAATTACCCAGATTAATATCCTCATCCTTGTTATCTTTATCCTTACATAAAACTGATTTCTTCACTTTCTTTGGAAGGAAGTTAAGATAATAAGAATCTAAAGAACATCTTGCTTTTTATATATATGTTTACAAAAAAGGTTTCTAAATCAAAGCAAATATTGAATTCAATACTAAGTAAAACAAGAAGATTTAACGGCTCTCCATAATTTAAAAAAGGGTATTTTCAGTTTTTTTTTTTACACATGCACTGATAAGTTATCATGTGTTTCATACACAGCCGATGAAGTGAATTTATTTTTAAGACTGGCTCACTTTTCAATCTGTCTACAAGAATCCTTGAAGCTGATACGGAGAACCATGCAGATACAAAAACAAGCAAAACAAAAAATCTAGCAGATGTACGATAGACTTGGAGGAGGAGGCCACAAAATATTTCAGGGTTGAAAAAAAAGGGAAAAAAAACAGTAAACGGTTTGTGGGAAAAGGGTACAGCTGAATGACTCATAAAATAAGCAACTTAGATGCAATTCAACCAACATGGGAGAAAGAAGAACTGGCATGATTGAAATTAATAATTAAAATCCTTAAATGAAGAACAATTAAAGTATGTCATAATCTGCAGCTGAACATTTCCAATAAAGTAAGGATTTTTTAAATTAATGGAAATTTTAAATGAAGTTCATAGCTACTAATTCTATTTTTGGTCCAGCGAATTTCTTCAATTTCATTGGCTCCAAGCCTGAGATGCACTGAACGTGATTGACATTGGTTACTCATTAAATAAAAACAGAAAAAAAATAAAACGTTCTCTTTCAATTCAAAGCAAATAAGACTGAAATCAATATTTTTTCATGTATTTAAAAATTTCACAATTTTTTGGTGATGTCAAAATTCTGTCAGATTGGTTTAAAATCTAAGTTAGACTCAGAGGTCACCTCTACTCGGAAAAGAAAAGAACCAACTGACATTTTTTTGAAGGCATTTTTTTTACAACAACAAAATCATAAGTATTTCAAGACAAACCATTATAATGCATTAAAATCTTTGTTTTTAATTTCCTCTTTTCAGAGTTTTTTACTTTTATTTAAACAAACTATTTCTTTTGCAGATACTTGATTCATCCATTTTTTTTTTGAAAAAAAAAAAAGCATTTGAAGGATATTAAATTACAAGTGGAACAAGTAAAAGAAAATTCTGACATTTTTGAACAAAAGGTTTTCGTTGGGTGATTTTTTATTTAAAGTTTTGGCTGATGCATTTAAAAGACTAAAAAGAGATGTTCTGATGATGAAATATACATTGAAATATTCACAAGCAATGTGAACTTGTCTTTTAAATATTGATTATCATTTTTTCAGACTAATAGTTATCATTTATTTGGTAGAATTACCTGAAGGACAAGGTTAATATAACTAAATGACCTTTTATAGCAGTATCAATGTGTAATAAAATTAAAAAAGTTTAAATTAAAAATTGAGAGGAACAACTGTTTATAAACAATATATTATGAACATGGCTGTTCAAATAGTCTCATATAAATCTTTAGACAAAAGAGTTAAATTTTTAATGCATTCTTAGGACTATTTTGACAAATACAAAATATATGGTTTTTGTAAAAAATATGCATATCATTGTTGCTTCAGGAAAACAGAAAAATCCTAACATTTTTGATTAAAATATTCATTTTTTTTTGAGAAACAGAAAGCTTTGTAACATTTACTTACATTGTTCAAACTGTTTTTCTCATCTTTATCGCCATATTCACGGCGTGAATATGACAATATCCTAGGATATCCAGTGGATAAAAGTCTTGGTTGGATCCAGTGACTTGACCCAAAGAGTTGTAAGTTCAATACCTGGCTACAAGCAGAGGTGAACAAAAACTTGGAGAGTTGAGTTAATTTCCAAGATAACTGAAATTTCCGGAAGAGGCATGGCACGTGGAACTAGAACAATCTACCCCAGTGGACGAAATAAAGGGTTCACTTTAAACTTCTTATCCCTGAAGAAGGCTGGAGTCTACAACGGCCG